AGGATAGACAATATATGAGTGTTAGGTTATCTGTATTCAGTTCCTTGTTCTGCCTTAGACTTGCTGAATGACCTTGAGCAAATAATTCACTGTATTCACTTCTCATTCTCCTTTTGCTACCTCACAAAAAGATATGGGAAGACTGAATGCATGGAGAAGGCACTCAGACACCATGGTGATAAATTCTATACAAAAAAACTTCCCACAACTCTATACAAAGAAGTACAGGCATATTTAAAGGAAAAGATAATGTTGTCCTGATCCTCCATAAACTATGTGCTTTCCTGAACTTTGAGAAATGCACATAATTTATAGAGAGTTAGGACAGCATTATCTTTTGGGTTTTGTTCTTTATCATAAAAAAATTGCAAAGCAACAAATGCTTTTTTATCATTCTCTTTTCCTCATTGCAAAGGATGTGGTTAGTAATCTTCTAAGTGCTGCTTTACCCTGAAAGTTTAATCAAGTTATCAGAAAACTAAAAGTGAATGTATTACACACCAATGTCATGTTAAAATTAAATTTGACCAATGAAACAAACTCATTCTCTTGACTGCAGAGCAAATACCTGAGAAGTATAATCACTGCATGGCAACAATTCCACCTGTTGTGAACTGAGATGCACATACCACCTCTGCACTCTTTCTACAACAGTCTTTGAAGTACCAGGATGAAAGCAAGTTCTAACTGCAGACAAATGAACCCAGATTCTCCCTTTGTTTGCAGAGCATGCACTGACAGCAAACAGAGAATTACCAACACTACACTTCATCAACTCAGGAGAAAATACTTGGCACAACTTCAAAATGGAAGAAAACAAGGATCTGTAGCACCTTTGTTATCATAATTCAGGTTACAAACACACAAGGCAGATTATTTAGTGGGCCTTTTTAGTAGTATTTAATCAAAGAGAGTGTCTGGTAATGCAGGACAAGAGCTCATCTCTATCTACTAGAAATAGATTTCACTTATAATGGGAAATGCTGTCTTTTGCACTAACAGTTGGCACAGCCCACTGCCTGGGGGCAGTGATTACAGAAAATACTTTCTGCCCAGTCCTTTTGAAGGTGAGTACAGAACAGTGTCAGGGCATGTAACAGTATGTTGCATACAACATCCCTGCTACGAAAGTCTGGCCTTACACACAATTCTGGTTGTTGGAGTTTTATTTCTTACAGGCAGTAATATATTAAGGCTTTTTATGGAGTTCTATAAGAAAATGGGGTCCATATGTGTTCAGGGACTGCAGCTATCTCCAGTATGAACTGAATCACTTGTTCAAACCTACACCACAACAGTCTGAAGTATGCAGACTGCCACTGGCCTACAGCTGCTCTGAGAATCCACATGGCCCAAAATATCAGCCATTACTTCACATCTGTTTGAGGGAAGCATTTTAAAAAAATTTAAGTATAACACTATTGCCAGTGTTAAAGTTTTCTTGATCTTTCAAATTTTTTTTTACACTCATGAATTCCAGAGGATGCTTCATTTGCTACACTTAATATACAAAGTCGTGCTCTGCACTTGCCACTAGTGGAGGTCAGTCCTACAGTTATTTAGTCTTCATGGCCACAATGACATTGGACCTTACAAAAAGTCTTTACATGGCTAACCTCTGTGTTCTCCTTCCACATTTGCTGCCAGGACAGAAACACACACTTATTCTCCACTAAATAAATCATGCTTGAAACAAATGTGGGGTTCGCATGTTTAACATTGTACATTGTCTGTCATCATTATGAAATCTTTCTTTTCTATCACTTTGAATGTCTGTGCAGGTTCTAGGTATAATCAGCATAATGAAGAATCCAGAAGGAAAAATGTGAGTGTATTACAATTACATTTTACTTGCCAAACACAAAAGATGGCTTCAGGGGCATTTCATGTCTCTTTGGAGATGTTTCATACAATTTTTCACAGAGAGGTCACTACTCTTTAACCCACAGGCTGTTACTGCAGCCCCAAGAGAGCTCTGGTTCCCTAAACACTCACTATCCTAAAGCACAATTGGAAAGGAGATACAGGACAGATATTCTACTATATCACATAGATTTGCTGGTGATTGGTGTGAACAGTTTGGTCCCCAAAAGCTGACTTTGCTCCATCAGAAGCAAAAGCTAGAAACACATTCCATTCAGTATTTCCCTCTAGCACTGCAGTGATTGCTACAGGATCATGTAAATATAAATGGGGCAGGAAGGTTCTGCCAAATAGAAGAATAGGAACTGTAGGCTCTGTTAAGATTTCCTTTGTAATACACTGATAATATTCTCTAACCATGGCATAATATTAGCCCTTCACCTCACCCTTTAAGTATATCTCAGGTGTTTTAAAGATAGCTGAAAGACAAACTGGATGTAAATGTCATTGGTTCCAAACTTACTACAAAACCATGTCTCTGGGATCTTCTCCCTTTAGCAGCAACACAGCCTTTTTACAGACAATAGCCAAAACACTGATTAATGACAAAGAGCTGACAACTAACACCAAAATGAAAGTACTTCCTGAGAAAAAGGATGGCATGTGGAGTCACTCTTCTGCGGTGCCAGGGACAGCTCCCTCTCTGTCAGCTGAGGAACAGTTTCTCCCTTGTCCACTTTAACCCCTTAATTATGACTAAACAAAGCTTCTCTGGCAGTCAGGCAGGTCCATTGTGTCACATGCCTTGTTCAGGAAGATGGGGAGCTGACGGGAAATCCCCTTGGCTAAACAAACCCCAGTTAATGACAACTTGCCATATTTCCATATGTCTGTCATGATCTCTCTGGTTTGTATCAGGGGACAGCACCAGCTTGCTGGCATTGGTCCCAGTGCTGGCTGCTGAACAAACCCTTGGAGACATGGGCTAAATCATCAGCATCTGACAAACCACAGCCACTCTGGCAGAAGAACCCAGACACAGCAGTGCAAGGTACTGACCAGGTGTGGCCCAGGTGTTGTTCCATCAACAGTGAACCTGCCAGCCACTACAGGAGCATTCAGTACCAAGCCAGAAGCAGAGAGCAGCCTGCTCCCCATGCAGCAACAGCTCCTCCCTCAGCGCTCACAAACGCTCACCTTCCCTGCTTTAGTAACTCCCACTGTGCTTTGACTTGCATTGTTGACCCTACTCCTGTTCAGACAGAGGTGTCTGCATTGGATTTAGTGATGCCTCAAATACAAACTAAGAAGAGACAAGCAGGATAAAGCTTGAGAGTAGTGACTTTCAATCTCCTCATTACAAACAGGAAGCTGGACAATTAATTACTACGCATTAACTGTAAGCACAATTCTTCTACTAATGCAGGCAGTTTGCAACACAGTGCAGTTTCTGCTCTTTGGAAAGGGCACTGATTTGAACTGAACAGTGTCATGGAGATAGGAATACAATTCTTTTGTGCCAAAGATCTTTCTTTTACCCTTCTGGCTCTTAGCTCCACCTGTCCACTCCCCTCCTTTGAGACCTCTGGCCTTGTCTTTTTGCTCTGTGATCTCTGTTGTGATTGTTATTGTTATATTTATAATTAAAGTAAGCAAATCAAACTATTCCTTCAGTAATTATTTTGTATCAGCCTATACACCTGGACTCTATTACTCCTAATGAATTCAAGTGTGTAGACTTGCAGATTTATTTCACAGTTCTCTACTACTGTATTAATGACTGAATACAGCCTTAACTGCACAATTCACATTTAAAAGAGAGATTTTGATATGATTTTTACCAAACTCACTTTCAGGTAATAGGCAGGCCATACAAGCCTCACTGGCCTCCTTTCTTGTGTTAGAAAAGAGGAATTTGGTGTGATTTGAGCAGTGCACACCAGCAAATAGGGGTGTGTGCCATGTTTTTACATTTCCATGAGTTTCCCTGTTCATTTACTCTTGAATAGCGTGGTATAGGAAATCATGGCTCTCCCCTTCCACACAAGAGGGCAGACAGGTCACCTACAGCTGTGCAAAATATGTGGGTTTTTTCCTTTGGTCACAGCAAACCAAGGCTTAGTGCAACCTGCCTGAGTCAAATACAATTAATGCTTAAAGTGCCACAGCTTGCAATCATTAAAAGTATCCCAGAAATTAAAAGTACAAAACTGGCATAAACAAAAATCTGGCAGGGAGGAAATCACCTTCTTTTGAAAGACTGTTTTGACATCTGAGGACAACCATTCAGATCCTGAATGGGAACCGCATTTCTATCCCAGCACTCTTTCCTCTTGAGAGCCTGGAATGGGGGTGGAGAGGAGTTACGGGCAAGAGACTGAAAAGTGACACCCAGGGGGAGTAACCTTCCAGAGATAATCAATGGCTTCGCAATGAGCAGCCAGCCCTACTGAATATTGATTAGGCAGAGCTGGCAAGCTCTGCTCCGGCGAGGTCAGCACTCCTGCCAGCTGCCTTGTGTGAGCACAAAGGGAGCCTCAGCAAAAGGCAAATTGTAAATGGCAGGTTTTATGTGAGAGGCACCATTCAGGCCTCCAGCAGGAGAAAAAACCCAGAAGTATGGTCACTGCCTGAGCAGGCAGAAGGCAGCAGCAGTCCTGCTAACTTCTGTTATTACACTGTGCAATTCCAGCTTTACCTGAATAAAGCTTTTTAAAAATTATCCCTTGCCAATATACAAGATACCACGAGCTGCCACAGGTTTCTCTTCCCTTAAGGTTTCACAGACATGTGAAAGGGGGTGCTTTCACAGACACCTGCCCTCAGAAGCTTTGCCCAGTATTACACCTCAGTATATGCCAGGTATGAGTGCATATTTCAAGGTGATACCATATCTGGCCTAGGCCAGCTCTGAGCACACCTCATGCCCTTGAAGGAGCACAGCTGTGTGTTAGCACTGCATCCCTCTCACAGCACAATCTGTTCTTACTGTCCCATTCAGTATTGAAGATTTTAGCTCTTCAGTATTTTTTAAAATATAAATAGTTAGATATTTTATTATAACATCCATTGGTCAATATATATATAACATATACAGCTATTAAGATTAGTTATTAGTGACTAAGAGGATATCCTACCTTTTTAGAAGCAGACAGTCTTTTCTCATAGGCTTTCTGTGGAAAGAGAAAGTGTGACAGTCAGGAAAAAGAGACCTGGAAACTGTATTCTTTAAAACAAAACAAAACAAAAAAACCAAAACCAAAACTTTAAAAAATAAAATGGAAATAAGGATAAAAAAGAAGAAGAAAAGAAAAAAGTTCCAGTTTCTGCCTGGTGTAACTCATCTGACTTCAGTGGGATTGTCCCAGAGCAGATTCGTCCCTCTGTCCTTGCCAAAAAGAAAACAACAGGAGCCAGCCAAAGGCATCTGCTTTTGCATTTCCTCAGTGAATCCATTCATTATACTCTCCTGATAGAGAAGTTGTAAACAAAGGCACTTCATGATGCTGCATCGTGCTATCCATAATTACACTGTATGTGCTTCATCAGCAGACATGCTTCAGGGCACACTGCAAAAGCTTTTTATGCATTCAGGACTCTTTCTGAGAGGGTGGGTCAAAATGAAGACAAAACAAGCTAACAGTTAAAACAGAAAAGGAAAACCTAACTTAACCTAAGCAGTTACTTACAGAGGAGCTCAGTGTAAGAGGGAGGAGAGAAAACTATCTATACACACTGGAAAAAAAAAGATGGGAGCAGAATTCCTGCCCACTAGTACCCCAGTTAGTATGTGTGCTTTAATATTCTCTCCATTTCTCTTTAAGATCACACACCCTCTAAAACATGTTTTAATAATCATGTTAAGTGGTGCTCCCATGTGAAAACTTCACTCTGGATGGGGATTCAAAAGAATTTTTTAAAACAAAAAGCTCCATTTGGAAGGTCTCTGAGGCTAACTTCTTGTAAATGGCCAACCATCTCTGACTTCACAGTGATATAAGTCAGTTGTAACTCCCTAAATTGTGAGCATTACAGAACTCTAGTGTCAGATCATAAGTGAGTCCTAAACACTTTATTGCTTAGTAAATCAGCTTAAAGTGCTTGGCAGTACCTGGTGCAAGTCATTCTCTGAGAAAAAATCTGTTTATCTCTTAAGAACTAACACTGTCTTAGATGTAATTAAGTCCAGAAGAATATAACATTTCTGCTGAGAATTTTGCTTTTAGAAGAATCTGCCACCAGAACATGTGTAATCCACACCCTGAATAGAAGTATTTATATCTGAAAAGAAGAACTTGGAAAAAAGAAATTCTTTAAGACAATCAACACCCAGGTGGGTAAGGGAGGTAGGCATTCAAGTGCTGGAAGCTGGTCTGGAAAGAAAAGCACAAACAGAGGTAGCAAGCAAAGGTGAACAGAGGCTGGTAGAGAGGCAGAGTGTTGTAGTAAATTCTACCTTGTACCTATATGTGCCTACATGCACATATAATCTATGTTGCTGCTAAGGTTTGTTTAGGTTCTAATAGAAGTCATTTTTGGAAGTGAAAAGATGTAATAGAAGTTGACCTGTATCAAAACACACTAAAAATAGCACTTAACAATGTCAAATTGCTTTGAATGCTAGATTTCACTGTGGACAAAACAGCTTCAAAGTGCATACATCAAGACCACATTTGGATAGTTTAACAGCACACTGAAAGGTTTCTAAACTGCAATCCTAGTTCTAAAACTGTATTCCATATCCAAAGTTCGCCTCTATTATTGTCAGTTATGATAGAGGTAGAGACCATAAAAGGGAAAATTCGGGCAGCTCTTTTCTGCATGCTTGTTGCATAAAGATTAAAAACTATCAGGCTTGTGTCACTTGAAGCGTGTTCACAGATGAATAATTGCAGCTAAACAGTAGCACCTTCCTCTAGAAATGGCTGGATATCCACGTTCTTGGCCACTGCTCAAGGGACAATGGATGCAATATATAAGGAAGCAGCCAGTGACAAGTGCGTACAGGTGACAGGGGAAGTAACCTAGCCACTTCTCACTAGAAAAGACAAAAGCTGCTTCTCTTGGGCCCTTAGCATCTTAGAGCATATCCCAAGAATTCTCTAAGAGGAGCTGGCTCTGAAAAGAGTGATTACATGGCAACTCTTTAAAACCTTGCCATAAGAGCTGCAGAGTTACTCCTCATGTAATTATATAGAAGTTGCTGGCACTTATTTCCCAGTCATCTTATTCATGAACTTGCCCTTCACAGAGAAGAAAAGGAAGCCAGTAAAATACCTGAACAGACTGAACCATGTCAGAAAACTCTCAGCTAAAGCTTAGTCATTCCATACAAATTCAGAAAGACTGGAGACTTGTTTAGCTGGAGTTTCAAGGTTGTTCAAGTCAGTGTAACAAAGAGGAAAGGATACCTTATCTCACAAAATAATGCACTACTACTTGGCAGCAAAATATAGTCACTCCATAACAGGTTTTGTAAAAGTCCTCTAAGCATTTATAACAATTATTTACTGTATTAATAACTGTTAATAATATCTTATCTAGCTATTCAAATCTACAGATGTTCAGGTCTTTAACACAGACAGGACCAGCACTTGCTCATTGTGGATTACCAAAGGTTTGACCCTACCATCATGGTAGGTATCCTTGTTGTGGCTACTGGCACAAAGAAAGCCCTAAGACCTGCAGGAACCAACTTCTGGCTTCTATGAGAAATTTTCCCCAGACCCTGCACTACACAGAATAGAACTGAAAAAACTTTTAGACTTATCTGAAGGAATCTACTTCTACTTCAAAAAGTCTTTACAGATAAATATTTGAAAAATCCCTAGTAATTCCTAGTCAATGAGCACCCTTTGGAATTATTTTGGCTTTCACCAGGAAGAAGTCTGTTCTGAAGAAAACTCCCTGTGGAAAACTGGGTGAGATGCACGTTACCCCTTCAACTCTGAAGTTTAGACATAAGGATGTTTATAATGAACCTCTAGCTGAGCTGGAGCCCAAGGCACCCATCCAGGACAAGTACACAACGCTCACCATTTCTGTGAAAAACCAATGAGAAGGGCAGTGGACACCATCCACAGGGCTTTGAGCCACAGCTTCCCTCTGGGCAAGCCTAGCTCTGGGCTGCAAAGAAGGCTGAAACACAGAGCTACATGTGGCCAGAAGTGCTGTATTTCAAGTGACTTGGGATCAAATCCATCCTGATTTGCACCCAAACCACATATAATTTCAGACTTGCAACTTAGCCAAATGTTGCTGAAGGGTTCACAAACTTTAGTGAACTTGGCTTGAACTTTGCATTGGAAAGGAAAAAGTAAAATAAAACTTTCAAGTTGAAGGTTCTGCCTTAAGTAATTTTGCCCATCTCCAATACTGATGCCTTATAAAAATACAGTTGATGTTCTATTCTAAACAATTATCCCAAACCCCATTCCTTATACACATTTTCCCAGGTTTCTTTTTCTGTATGGACCTTTCCTACTTCATGGGTTTCAGAGAAAATATGATCTTTAAGATGAGGATGAAGATCCTCAGCTACAGTAATACTGTAGGCTATGTATAATCCTTCACTCACAGGAGTAAAACCCCTGCATCCCAAAAAGCTCACTTAAGTAATGATAATATGATAACATTCTTTAAGATTTTCCAAGGCCAAATGAAAAGCTGATTTCTCTTTTTAAAGAAGGATGGAAAATAATATAATAGGAGAACTTGGAAAATGGATCATGGCCCTGTCAGTGGTAGTAAATCCAACCTTAGGGTCACAGATTCCATTATGTGCCTTTATTTATTAGTCTGAGATATAGGTATAGATAAATATAGATGCACAGCAGCTTGCTGCACACCAAGGTCATGGCACCCTTTGACTCTTCCTAGAAGCAAGTGCACCACTGTTTCTCTGAAGTGCATGTTCTTCTCAGTGAGGTTGTTTCCCTCAGTTTCAGCCTCCATTTTTAACACATTCATACAAAACCTCTCTCTTAGAACAGGCACTACAGGTCTGGGGAGCTTCAGGATAAACTGCAAAGGGGTTCATGAAAAGGAGAAGAAGATCTGTAACTAAAGGTAACTCTTGAAGCTACACCTGTTCAAATAAACAGATTTTAATTTAAAGCTTAATTAGTTTATCCCTGAACAATGAACTTTCCTGAAATTTGTTCTAAAATAGCCTTCAACACTATCTACTTTTCTCCATGCTCAATTTTAGCCTGTTCTTTCAGCTTGTTTCTTTTTTATAAAGAACTACCATTTTTATAGTGGCAGTTGTAAACCGTTTAAAAAAACAGCTTCAGAAACCTAGCTCTGATATTCTAAAAATAAAACAAACAAAGAAAAAAGCACTACTAATGTCTTCTAAACAATTTCATATCATCAAGGATCACATATTTGAAAACAAATTAAGTTATCAGATTTCTGAAGAATGCATTTTTGATTTTGCACACTTTATAGAGATAAGCCATTGCGTAGTCACTTGAGTTTTGTACTTAACCTGAAGAACTGGCAAATAAAAATAGTTCCTGCCTCTAAAGTTGTCTTTTTCCTGTGATGATAATTCACTCTTGGTGATGCTCAGAAAAAGAGCAAAGCAATATCAGGATCAAACCCAACATGTAAATAAACCTGAGGCACCAGGGTTTCTCCTTCGATCTACTGAGACAGAGACTTCTCTCTGATAATTTAACAGAACAGTTCCTGAATCTTTTCACAGCTGCTGTTTATTTTTCAACACAGGTCCTGACCTTGTCCAGGTAGGTTTGGTTTTCTTGGAAAGACTTTCTGAATGAAAATGTGGTATAGTCCCATGCTTTTGGGGCAATGACAGTGAAAGGAAGTTCCAGCTGACCAATATTTGCACCTGTTTCTGCCCTGCTTGTGGGACTGTGCTCTGAAACATGGCACTTCCACAGAAGTGAAAACTTACTGGGCCAAGTGACGTAGAAATTAGGTTTCCAGATGTGTGTACTCCTTGACTTGTGTGACTTGCTAAGAGTTGTGTTGCTACAAGTGTGGGTGGGTGGAAGAAATGGACTAATAAACAAGCAATTAGAGGCTGGAACTGCTCAAGTCATGAGCACCACCAAAAAAAGCACTTAAAAACCAAAAACATTTGCGTAAGCTTCTCAGCAACCATGTTTTTATAACACAACTCTAAAATAAATATAATATGAAA